ATATAATGATGAAAATAGCTGGGAATTGTAACCAGGTCTACATCTTGACCAAAATGAAGCTGGGGGCGGTGGTTTAAAAGCACAATGACTATATATGTATACATTTTTTTTCTCTTTTAAAAAAAGGAGGAGGAAGATATATGTTAAAATTAAATATGTATATTGAAAAGGAATTATAAATACCATCAACATAAATTGGAGCTCTCTCAGAAGCTGAAATACACCAAATAAATGAAACAGAGGAGAGAGGTAAGGGAAGGAGAGAGGGATAGGAGAGAGGGCAGGGGGGAAGAGGAGAAGAGAAAGAAAGAGTGGAAAAGAGGAGAGAGGAGAAGAAGAGAGGAAGGGGAAGTAGAGAAGAGAAGGACAACAGAGGGAAGAAAGGAGGTGGGGAAGGGGAGGAGAGAGAGAGAAGAAAGTGATGCGTAAGGTAAAAATATGGTGTATGGAGAGCAGAAGAGCCAATAATTGTTTTTGGGAATTGATGGTAAGACAAATTGATGTAAACATTTAATAACACAATACGATGTTGACTATGTAATAGTATACCTGTGGTTATGTTATGAAAATGAAAAAATAAAAAACTTATATATAAATCATTTTCTGCAACTACCAGAGCTCCTTCTAATTGCTGGTGTTGAAAAATGGGAGTATGGCTGTTAAAATGACACTGTAGGAGATGACCAGGCTGAGCCCAAGGGAGGGGTCAAATGCATCATAAATCATGAGTCCTTACGCAGCAAGAGATCTAAGTCCAGCCCACCTTGAATGCCTCTCTCATCTCCCGCTCATTTCCCTTAGCTGGCAGATGGTCAGATTCTTGTAGAGAGCTTAAGCTTGCAATAAAGCTTTATATAGGAATCCTCGACTTACGACCACAACTGAGCCCAAGATTTCTGTTGCTAAGTGAAACATTTGTTAAGTGAAATTTGCCCCATTTTACGATCTTTCTTGCCACACTTGTTAGGTGAATCACTGCAGGTAAGTTAGTAACACAGTTGTTAAATGAATCTGGTTTTCCCACTAACTTTGTTTGTCAGAAGATTGCAGAAGCTGATACATGACCCCCAGGCACTGCAAACGTCATAATTATGAGTCAGTTGCCAAGCATCTTAATTTTGATTATGTGGCCATGGCGATGCTGCAACGGTTGCAAGTGTGAAAAATGGTCATAATGACCATTAGCTTACCTGGAGGGTCCTTTTCTGTGCACTGCGGTAGAGTCCAAGCATGGGTTAAATTAGTCTGATTGCCCAAGGACTGAGTTCAAAAAATTTGGCAATGCCTCCTGCTCCTCGTTAAGGCCAGATTTTTAACGATGCTTGTACAGAAGATGCGATGAGATGGCGTGGAAAGTCTGGTGGTTCCAAACCCTGGGCCCGCACAAATCAGGGTGGGGTTGGACTCTCCCGCACTGCACAGAAAAGGACCCTTCAGTGCATCAAGAAACATCAAAGCCATTTGTTTTTTGGGGTGGGCCTCATAATATTCCAAATTATTCAAAATCATTTCTTGATGCACAGAAGGCCTTTGACAATGTGAATTGGCAATTCATGTTTTTACAACTGGAGCAGATGAACTTTGGTGAGAAATTTATTCAAACCATACAAATGATATATCAGAAACAAACAGCAAAGATAATAGTAAATGGAGAATTAACAGATCCTATTAAAATAGAGAGGTACGAGACAAGGTTGCCCACTATCACCATTACTCTTCATCTTAACATTAGAGGTTTTAAACAGAAAGATTAGAGAAGAAGAAATAAGAGGAATGAAAATTAANCCCTCAATTGCCATATCTCCTAGCATCCTTTTCTGATTAGCTTTCTTCAGAATATTTTCCTCCACAGTCCTTTCGCTGATCAACCTGAAGAAAGCATCAGAGAATTAATCTGTAAGTTACTGCTAGCAACCATGTCTACATCTGGAAAAACTTATGAAATTTATGAACAAGTGTTTTTTTTTAAAGTGCTATAATGCAATTATTAACCATCTAAATCATTTTCTGAATACAAAGTTTTTTTTTCTTTTTCTTTTCTGTAAAAGTTCAAGATGGCTCCAGCTTCTCTTCCGTTTTCACATTAGTTGAATTAGCTAAATTTAAGGTGATCCAGAACTTTGAAATAAGATCTTTATAACTAACTGCAATTTTGGAACTGGACATTAAGGAAGAACAAAACACCAAGATGACTCCTGTCGCTCTTCTCCACATCAACTGAATTAGTTAAAGTTAAGATGGACCAGAACTCTGAAATAAGAACTGTATAATTAACTAACTTTGGAACGGGACATGATGGAAAGGTGGGAATTTGAAGAACTACGTGAAATTATAAAAAATATACATAAATCATTAAAATCAAGCCTAAATAGAATTCTGAATTCAGAGAAGCAGGTATTTAATGAAGAAGGGAAGGAAGAAGGGGGAGGGATAATGAAGGGGTAGAAACAGTGGAAAATAAAAAGCAGACAAAAAACCATTGGGTTTGGCATTGGTATAGGGAAAATTGAAAAGGGGGGATGTGTCCGAACAAAAGGAAATAAAAAGCAGACAAAAGATGTTTCAGAGGGTGACAGTGGCATAAGGAAAACTGAAGAAGGAGGTTACACCCCAACAAAGGAAAATATAAAATATTTCTTTAACAGTGGCTTGGGGAAAATTGAAGAGGGTGGACATGTCAAAACAAAGAAAAGGGAGAAGGCAGGAATAGAGAAGTGGGACAAAAGACTTACTAGGAAAAATCAGACAACTAGAAATTATTATATGGGAAAATATAAAGCTAAGATAAGGGGTTTGTTTATTCCTAAATATGACAATAAAATGGAGTTACTAACTGGCTGAATATGATAATGGAAAG